AACTTGCGCGTAAGAAATATTTTTCTTTTTTTGTTAAAAATCAAAATTCAACTAATCTCAATTTATACTTAATCTCGTCCATAAAATTATATTTCCAGTCCACTGAACGGAAGCTTCGATATCAAAGACTTCATGAGTACAATATACGCCGAAGCTGTTCAATACAATCGGGGTCCCAGTTATTGGGTGACCAACGTGTGCGACGCAATCGACAACAACCCACCAAACCGTAAAAATGGTTTACTTGATCGGATCTTTGCAGGTGCTGTCGCTTTACTAGGCAACCAATCTTGCTACGATACCAATATGTTTGCGATCCCTACAAACAATAATAAAGCATGGAGATGGCAGGCACGTAAAATTTCACGTTGAAAAACATATTGAAACATGATAGAGAGTATACTTAAAAATGTCGTTACCTAGCTAAAATTACAAATCGATTTTCGTATAGACCTGCAGCGAGATAGTGATGCCGGTGGGGTATGACAAACAAGACACGATGTTCCCAACAACACCATTTAATATGACCAGTTACATTGAAGGATGTAAAGCTGTTTATGGTGTCACTCCTCGGCCACACTGGATCACGACGTACTTTGGAATTCAGGTATATATATTAGTTAACAAAAAATATTTTGGTCACGAAGTATATATTATAAGTTAACTAATCTCAAACTCATAGATATTATCAATGTCATCCAGTTTGGGGCACACGTTACCCAAGCCATCATTTGTATAAAAACAACTGCTTTTGAATTGTATTTTTGGATTCCTAGTATTGTTACATCCTTAATTTTGCGTTAAGGCGTAAGAAAATAAAAGGGACCAGAGATTTTACTATTGCTTTGTATTTCCGTTATTTGGACTGATATTAATGTTACTGGTCTAGTAGTTTTGATAAAATTAATCAGCTAAAACTTACTTTCAAATGTTACATATATTGCAGGATGTGAAGTTAGTCCTCCGAAAATTTGGGAGCAACATAATTTTCTCTAATGGATTGTCAGATCCTTATAGCGTCGGCGGGTAATAACATAATACAAATAGATTTATATATTTTTATACACACACACACACAAATGTTTTACGGGGTTTCTTTTGATATATTTTCAGAGTTTTAGAGGATATTTCAGATAGTGTAGTCGCCATCAAATCAAATAATGGTAAATTTTCATTTATATTTAAAAGCATACTCAGCAAGTCGATCGTTTAAGAATAGGATGAACTCCCCCCGTAATTTTTAATAAATTCTGAATGAGCAGGTTCACATTGTCAAGACATTGTCATGAAGAGCAAAGGAGATCCGGAGTGGCTGGTGATGCAACGAGACAAGGAAGTTAAAATAATTGAATCTTGGATTTCAACGTATCAAAAAGATCTAAGAGCTCTTAACATATCTATATAAATTTGGTTATAATATACACAAAATATATAAATCAATAAGGTGCTTGTAGTTGTATTGCTTGAGAAGCATGGTCAAATGAAGATTCATATAAAAGCCAGTAAACACTGTGAATCTTTATTGTATTCCTCCTAGACAACATTGGATCGCAGCAAATTTATACTATATAATAACTTTGAAGTCTTTTTTTTTTGGAACACATAACAACTTTGAAGTCATATTATTAGATATATGATAAGCCATTGAGTTTTGAACAAAGAAAAAAAAAATGGTGCACGCCAGTGAGTCACTTAGCCATCCTTCAAGAGATTTAATTGTAGCTAAGGCTTTAACTGGTATATAGAAAATGGAATTTATGCAATAAAAAATGGAATACCATTTATATTCCATTCATTCATGATTAAAATTATTATGTAATATTTTCTTTTGAATTTTGTTTACTTTTTATGCAAATTTCCACATAAATGGTATTTTTTTTGTGGAATGAAAGGAGCAAGATATTTCACATGATTCAAAAAATTGGCAATCCAGTAGCAGCCACTAGTGTTTATTATTTTCCTTCATTAATAAATTAGGATTGTAAAATCTATAACATTATTTAAGAAGTAATTTTGCTTAGTTGTCAATTTCTCCTTAATTTTAGGTAAATTTGATTATTTACCTTATTTAAATAATTTCATATGTAATTTATTATTTAATAAAAATGAATTTATATGAATATAGCATATTTTTAGAAAAGACGATAATTCTTGTGAATTATGTTGTTGTCTTGAACTATATTTTTATATATAAAACTTAAAATTTAAATTAAGATATAAAATTATTATATTTATTATATAACTAAAACAAATTTTTTAGAAGTAATTTTACTTAGTTGTCAACTTCTCCTTAATTTTAGGTAAATTTGATTATTTACCTTATTTAATAATTTCATATAAAATTTATTATTTAATAAAAACGAATTTATATGAATATAGCATATTTTTAGAAAAGAAGATAATTCTTGTGAATCATGTTGTTATCTTGAACTATATTTTTATATATAGAACTTAAAATTTAAATTAAGATATAAAAGTTATTATATTTATTATATAACTAAAACAAATTTATATTAATAATTTTATATTTTCTAAAATAAGATACTTCTTATGTAATATGTTGTTATCTTGAAAATATATTTTTCTACTAGAAATTTAAAATTAAGATATAAAAATTTGTAATTGTTCTATAGTTAAAAGAAATTTACACTAATAATATTATACTTTTAGAAAATAAGGTAATTCTTATGTATTATGTTGTCATCTTGAAAATATATTTTTATATTATATAATTTAAAATTAAAATAGAAAATTATCTATTATAAATTAAATATAAATCATCACTCAAGCAAAATTATTTAATAAGTGAATTTGCTGATTTATTAAGTTCTCCATGATTTTAAGTAATTTTAATTATTTGTCATCATTTCTATAATCTTATATAATTAAAACGAATTTATCATATTATATTTTTAGAAAATAAATAGCTTATGCATTATATTGCTATTTTGAATTTTTTTTCTTTTATAAAATTTAAAACTAAGATAGAAAAAATTATATTTAAATATGAATTAAGTAAAAAAAAATTGTATAAATATTATAATTAAATATAAATCAAGCAAAATAATTATACAAATATATTCTTTTAAATATTTCTGATGTTTGATTTTGTCATTTATAATTATTTGATGTTTGATTAGCAATTTTTGAAAACATAAATAATAAATTAATGAAACATCAACTAATAAATATTCGTAACAGAATTATGCCCGCAAATGCGGGCAAAACACCTAGTTATATATTAATCACGAGCTTATGCGAAAAGGGCCGACTTATTTGAGAATGTAAAATTCATTAATAGAATTTGCCATAATCTGAGTTTTATAAAACATGGGCTCAATTTACAAAGCTCTTCTTTTGATAGTTGTTCTTGGCCACCACACAGTTTTTGACAAGAGTTTCGATAGTTCTTCCAAGGTTAAAGACTTCACCCATTAAGTCTAATGAAGCGACCAGAACATATACTAAACTAACATTAATTGTAGTACTTTGTTCGTCATCATCATTACAATTGTTTAGAAATAATTTGTGCTAACCCAATAAATTTATGTTCAAGTAAGTTGATATCTAATCATATATAGTGTGTAAACCAATAAAATTTGCATTAATACAAGTCAAGACATTACAAAACAAATGTTGATGACAAGCTAAAGGTGAAGTGAAGATAAATTTATGGTTTTAACAAAAAAAGCAATTCTTTATGAATTTATTGGCCTTGAAACAATTTAAAAAATATTCCCATGGAATGTGACACACCACACCTTCATAACTTAGTCCCAAAGGAAAAAAAAGTATTGCTTTTGTTTTTATGTTGTCTAACATTTTATTTGAATGAATTGCTGCTATAACTGATTCATCCAAAGAAAATTGTATAAAAGAAACTTTTGAACTCTTAAAATATACAGTAAAACAGATCAAAGGTCAATATATGTGTATAGAATGACTGTATATGTTCTTTTGGATAACTGAAGGAATCCCAAACCAAATCCAGAATTAACAGTGACTAACATAGCATCTAACTGGATTACTATATAGTTTTTGTTTGATTCGCTCTCTCTAGTTGATTCGGTTGTCAGTTTCCAGTTCACTTGTCAGTTTCCAGTTCACACACATAGCATATAATCTTTAACATTAAACCTTTAAGGCATTTCTCATCTTCTGGTTTCAACTCAATTATTCTTGTTGCATAAAACCATATGTTTAAAAAAAATTTGTACAAGGGCGGTATAGGAAAAATGTCGACAAATGTTCAGTTTATTTTATCCTATTTTAAATTGTAGATGGGGAAAAAGAAAAGTAGTGAAAGCAAAATGCATGAAATCATTGCAATGTGGGTTCTACAAAGTTGTAACAATAGGAAAAAGAAGAATAGAAATTGCCATGATTTGAGCTGTTTCCTAAAGACTTAAGACCATCTGTAAGTTTATTTAATTATTTACACTTCACGTCAATGATGTAACACAAAACATCTTCAAGTTCATCCATATATTACTAATCCGAGGAGGGTACTACTTGAGATATACACGACTAATTCAAAAACTCAACCAGTGAAAGAAACGTATTATGCAGATCACAACACAGTTTGTTTGAATATATAAATCAAGAGGTGCGTAAAAGTTACGCATTATGTGGTTTAGGTAGCCAGAGACAATGAAAACAAAGTGAAAGAGATGATGTGCAGAAGAACCTTCCATTGACTGGTCTTCCTCTTTTTTTTCTGAATAAAAAAACTAATCCTTGTTTGCATATATAGTTTTACTTCTACCTTTTCTATTTGATAGCAACTACTTGTTTGTTAAGCAACTATATTGTTTTGTGTATTTTATAATGTTCTTCATTGAAATTTTTTTAAAAGTTACTGATAAACTCCTCACTAAACTCTGAAATGAAACATAAACTTATCTTATTATATAGAAATCCATAGATTTATTTCTTTTTCGGTCACCAATATAATATTTTTCTTATTATAAACATCATCCACTTCATACACACAATCATACAAACTTTTCTCCTCCAACAACATGAAGTTATGATTATTTTCTTACCTGTTTTGTCACAATATAATATAAATTGATTAATAAACACATGTGATTATGGAGTAATCTGCATATCTCTCTCTTAAAAGAAGCAACGACAGTAACAAAACAAATCTGCAAAATCCTCTGTTTTCATGGAAACTCAAGACTGACGACAATCATAACACTTAACAATCTACGGCTTTTTTCTTCATTCTATGTCTGCCCAGAAGGATAAAGTATTGATCTTTACGATTTTCTGACGACATATAGAGAGATCTTTTGTCACTTGTCAGCACTTAGACCATGGCGGCTGCTCTGTTTTCGACGGCTATTCTGCTCTGTTTATTACCGGTTTTAGTTTTGTCTAACGGTTTCCCGGCGGCAATGAAACTAGAAAGAGCTGTTCCGGCGAATCACGAGATGGAAATCAGTCAACTCAAGGCTCGTGACAGAGCAAGACACGGCAGATTGTTACAGAGTCTCGGCGGAGTAATTGATTTCCCCGTCGACGGAACTTTTGATCCTTTCGTTGTTGGGTAATCTTAAAGTTTCCATCTTTATTGCTTATTTGAGTCATTGTCTGCTTTTCTCTCATGTCTTAATCAAAAAGTTTGTTTCTTTGTTGTGTTCTGCTTTAGATTATACTACACGAAACTGAGATTGGGATCTCCTGCAAGAGACTTTTATGTACAGATTGACACAGGAAGTGATGTTTTGTGGGTTAGTTGTGCTTCTTGCAATGGCTGTCCTCAAACCAGTGGTCTCCAAGTAAAAAAACCTTTTCATGTCTTTTCTTTTATAATTATATTTGAATTCTCTGTTTTTTTAAGACTAATGTGTTGCTGCTCTGTTTTTGCAGATTCAGTTGAATTACTTTGATCCAGGGAGCTCAGTAACAGCGACACCAATCTCATGTTCTGATCAAAGATGCAGCTGGGGTGTTCAGTCCTCTGATTCAGGCTGTTCTGTTCAGAATAACCTTTGCGCTTACACGTTTCAGTATGGTGATGGAAGTGGCACCTCAGGGTTCTATGTCTCTGATCTCTTGCAGTTTGATATGATTGTAGGAAGCTCTCTTGTCCCTAACTCAACGGCTCAGGTTGTATTCGGGTGAGTTGTTTCAGCAAATCTTTTATTCATAGCCAATGTTCAAGAACCCTTAGGCGTTTTATATGATGATTATTGATTATAAGGCGTCTAGATCGATTTTTTTTAACGCTTAAACCAATTTTTGGAACACTGTTAATAGCAATCAATAAAGGCCACTGAAGTTTGTTCTTTATGGAAACAGATGCAGCACCTCACAGACGGGAGATCTAGTGAAGTCAGATCGAGCTGTTGATGGCATCTTTGGGTTCGGGCAACAAGGAATGTCTGTGATATCTCAGCTTGCTTCACAAGGAGTAGCTCCTAGAGTGTTCTCACACTGCTTGAAAGGAGAAAATGGAGGCGGAGGAATATTGGTTCTTGGAGAGATTGTGGAGCCAAACATGGTCTTTACTCCACTGGTTCCCTCACAGTAAGTTCTCTTTTATCCCTCTAACTCTGTTTCATTACAAAAGAACTGTTCAAATGTTAATTGCAAAGTGACTGATAAGGATATGATCTTATGGCGTTTGGGAAATTTTTAGGCCTCATTACAATGTGAATCTGCTGAGCATCTCAGTGAATGGCCAAGCTTTACCTATCAATCCATCAGTCTTTTCCACATCAAACGGTCAGGGAACAATCATTGATACTGGTACAACATTGGCTTACCTTTCTGAAGCAGCCTATGTTCCTTTCGTTGATGCTGTAAGTCCTAAAATACCACTTGCTGTGTCACTCTGATATGATATCACTGAGCTATGTGAGAAATGGTTACTAGGCCTGCGGGTTCGGTTTCGGTTAGTTCGAATAACGTATCTAAAATGCAATCTTTCTTATGGAAAATTTCAGATCACAAATGCTGTTTCACAGTCTGTGAGACCAGTTGTTTCGAAAGGGAATCAATGTTACGTATTAACCACCAGGTTCATACCATCTCTAATCATGTCTTCTTATTAGTACCAAATACATAGTGGAAAAATACTGAAACATTTGTTTGGTTGCTGTAATGAATAATCAGTGTCGCAGAAGTGTTTCCACCAGTCAGCTTGAACTTTGCTGGTGGAGCTTCCATGTTCTTGAATCCTCAGGATTACCTCATACAACAAAACAACGTTGTAAGTAACTTACATCAAAACTTCTTATAGTAATCTGTTTTATTTTATTTTTTGGTTTTTTTTGGGTATAACATTAGTCTCTGGACTCTGGTCTTTAGGGAGGTACTGCAGTGTGGTGCATTGGTTTTCAGAGGATACAAAATCAAGGGATAACGATTCTTGGAGGTAAACCACAAAGCTTAACAAAATCTACTTTCTGTAGCGCAAAAACTAATGTTTTTCATCTTTTGTTCTGCAGATTTGGTTCTTAAAGACAAAATATTTGTCTATGATCTGGTTGGTCAGAGAATCGGATGGGCTAACTATGACTGTAAGAATCTCATTCCTATAAACTCAAACGTGATACAAAAGTAATCTCATCTTTCCACATTTATAAATCTCTCAACTTCTTTTCAGGTTCAATGTCTGTAAATGTCTCTGCGACTAGCAGCAGCGGAAGAAGCGAATACGTGAACGCAGGACAGTTTAGTGACAATGCAGCGCCACAGAAGCTGTCTTTGGACGTTGTTGGAAACATTATAATGTTATTACTAATGGTAATAAACATGTTTTTATAGCACACAGCTTTTACAGATTTATGTAGTTTGATGTCCACTGGTTTATATGGTCATTGGTGTGTGTTGTTTTTTGGTCGCTGGAGAGTAATTATCTCCTGACCGGCGAAGCCAAGCAGAGGGAAAGTTAAACTTCTTTGTTTGTTTGTTACATTCTGTTGTGTTATAGTTTCGGATGTAAATAATTCGTTTCTTAGTGGTGTTTGTGTATTTATTCTTTCCTGATCCAAGGCACTTATGATATCAAGTATGATAGTGTTAAAGTTTATTTAGATTATGATAGTGTTAAAGTTTATTTAGATATATTAAATACCTAAGAGCATAAAAGAATATGAAGTTCACCAGATGACCATAGGCAAATGAGTTGCTTAAAACACTAATCTCTTCTTAGTCAACTAACTAACAAGGACCTTCAATATAATGTCCTTAAACAAATTCCAAACCTTTGAGATATAGTTAGATGTGGAAATTTCAAATTTAAATTCATTCGATTTAGAAATATAGGATATGTTCATGTATTCAGAAAATTAAATTTGGGTTTGGTTGCTTATTTTGGTTTCTAGCGCAGTTGTTATAACAATGTTGGAAATCGGCTAATATTAAATAAAAAGTTAATCAATTTTTAGATAATTTCTATTTATTTGGATAACTAGAAGTTTTTGGAAAGTAAACTGATAGTTTGTTTTTTCGGATAAAAATATTTAGATAATTCTATTTTTTTGGTAATTCAATAAATACTTATAGGATATTTGGTCATTTCAAAATTAAATATAACTAATATTTTAGGTATACAAACTGTATTTAAAACTGCGGATATCCATTTAGTTTTTATTTGTTTTTTTTTAAATTATGGAATCGGATATTAGAGTAAGATTAACCCCGAGCTCATTAGAGTTATTAGCTTTGGTTAAGATATATTTTTTTAGATTTTAACTAAAAAAAATTAAGAACTGTCTTTCAAATAACATATATAAAAAATGTTATTTAGTCAAAAAAATATAGAAAAAATATCTAATCATAAGTTAAAAATCTTAAAGAAAAGACCGGAGTTAAACATCGTTCTTAAGTTTGGTTTTATATAAATGTGCCCTGTCACAAGTCGTTTACAAACTGTGCCCATGCTAATGGGTTTTAAGCTACGTCTAGAAGGCCCAAACTAAAGGGCCCGTAGGTTTAATAACTAAATAGAAGCCGGCCCATACGTGACAGATGGGAATAATTACCGAAATACTAAAACGACTTAATATTTATTTGGTGAACTTCTTCGAATCCTATGGTTTTAAAAGTTTTTTTTTTTTTCAAAATTGAATATCCTAAAATCTCTTTTGAGTATCGATTGAGATTCGCATTAAGCATACCATGCGGTGCGAGTCGGAGATACTTTCAAGAATGGATCATATGTGATTCAGAGTAAGCTTGGTTGGGGTCACTTCTCCACTGTTTGGCTAGCTTGGGATACTCTAAACTGTGTAAGCTCACTTTCTTCTTCCTCAGAGTTTGTTAATTAGAGATTCAAGTTTAGGGTTTTAGTAAAAGGAAGTTCCTTTGTTAGGATTGAGCTAGCTTGATGGATTTCTGTAGAGTAAGAATGTTGAAATTTGGAAGCTTTATAGTAGTTACAAGTTCACAAGTCTTGTGTGTGTGGGATCCTCTGTTTATTACGTTTTTGTATGTGATAATTTTGGATGTAGATTATATGTAAACTATTTTTTTCCTAAGGTGTCTTTAACTCACAAGAAAGGAACTCGTGAAACTTTTTTACTTCAATTGAGTTTTCATTGAATCCAACCTTACTCCCGTTTTGTTTGATATAAAATGGCTCAATGTTTTTGATAAAGACAACACGTAGTTGTTTTGTTTGGAATGAAAATGTCAATGTTTGTTTTTATTTCAAGAGATTACAAAATAGGAACAACCTTCCTAGAGCAAGATTATTAAAATTTTCAAAATCATCAAAACTAATAACTAGTGTTACTAACTAATAGTCTATGAGAATATAATGATGTGTATAAATTATTTTTTTGAAAAAAAATAATTTTAATGTTCCAAATTAAGGTTTGAAAGCACCCCCACTCTCACAATTGGCGAGTGAACACCACTCTCTCACAATTGCTTATAAAAAAATAATTTTAATGTTCCAAATTAAGGTTTGAAAGCACCCCCACTCTCACAATTGGCGAGTGAACACCACTCTCTCACAATTGCTTATAGTTATATGCCTTGTTCGGAAACTCGCTAGGCGCTACGCGTGCGGTGCACCAGCGCCTAGCGATTTATTGAAAAATCGGAAAAAAATCGGGGAGTACGCGGGGCGGAATTTTTGTACTTATATATATATTTATTTATTTATATATATACAATACAAATATTTATGTATAAAACATGTTTCTGTGAAGAAATTATTGTATTAATGTTGTTCATTATGTTTTAATTTTGGTTCATCAAATTGTATATACACAATGTACGAAGAACTTATTAACATATGATTACAATTATTCAAACCTATGAAGGTGACAGCACAAACAAAACATATTATATATATAACACTCGAACTACTTTTTATTAAAGGAATTTTTTAAGGCACAATTAAATTAGTCACATTTTCTATCGTGTATTTTCTTATTTCTAACCCAAAAAAATGTTTGATACAAACCCATCTACCCAATGAAAAGAAAAAGCAAAACACAGACAGTTTAAAAAAAAAACAAAAAGAGACACGTTAATATCTCAACATCCCACATCGCTTACGGGAAATAAAGTCGAAGGCAATTCACTAGTATAAATAATGTATGATCTCCTTAACTTTTCCAATGTCAGACGGGCTTCTAATTTAGCCTTGGCCCAATTTTTTGTTAGATCCAAAATTAATGATTTGTAAAATCGGTTATTAATCCGATTTTTAAACGCATAGTATAATTAATCGGCCGGTTAATTATGTGCCGACTAATTATGGCGAGTTGGTTAAAGTCGCGGCGGTGGGCTTGCGATTAGCGTTGTTGCGGCCGCAAACGCGGCTACTCGCCCGCGTTTTTGAACAATGGTTATATGAGAGAATCACATTTTCTCATTTTGACTTTTTTTTTTTTTTTTTACATTCGTATCTTTTGAAGCAAAGAAATAAAATCGAAGAAAAACAATCTGAAGAAAGAAAAGAAGAAGCAGAAATGGATTGTCCGTCGCATCATCCCCCGCCTCCGCCTGATGAGGTAAAGCTCCGCCGCCATGGATTGTCCCTTTGAGCTTTAATTGTAGAAAACTCAGAACTTTAAAGGATTTAATTACAAAAGTTAGTTTCTTTGTAATTTTTTCAGTAGATTTGGATTGAAAGTTTTGACCTTTCTTTGTAATGTTTGTTTCTTCTGGGCAGTTGTTCGACATTGACACTACAGTTGATCCTACCTATGTAATCTCACTGATACGCAAACTCCTTCCAGTAGATTCTGGTAGTGGTCAAAGCACTCAGGTAAAGCATAATCCTCGTATGGATCCCAACAATCTTGTTCAAGGTGTTGTAGAGAGCATGGACATTGGTGATAACCATAACGAATCCACTTCTCAGGAGAAGGACAAGGCATGGGAAGATCATGGTTGCGTTTTGTGGGATCTTGCCGCCAGTACAAACCATGCTGAGCTTATGGTAATACTTTTACACTTTGCCTTAGGCACTGGTCTTAAGATGAGACTTTTTTAGTGGGGTGGATTGGTGGAAGCAATACACTAGTTTGCCTTGTAGACAAAGAGAGCAGATTGATTCCATGTAGTGCCCTACTATCTGTCTTTGAATCCTAGGCACTGGAATTGAGACTGCAAGTTGTGACTGTTTTCTTATTCTTGTTTTGGCTTTTGCAGGTACAGAACCTAATTTTACAAGTGCTTCACGCAAACCTTCTGGTGACAACATCTTCCCGCATTCGAGTAAGATACTCATTTTCATTTATGATAATTAATTTGTTTAATTCTATTCACTGAATGATATTATTCTTGTTCGTTTGGACTTGCAAGGAAATATGTCTCGGGATTATAGGGAACCTTGCTTGCCACGAAGGTCTGCTGAAACACATTGAGTCTACATCTGGACTAGTCAATATACTTGTGGGGCAGTTGTTTCTTGATGACACTCAATGCCTATGTGAAGTTTGCAGGCAAGATAAAGCATATTTTTGTGAGCTGTCAAATGCAGATTCATGTCTAACTAACTGACATGTGTGTTGTTCCCAATAGGATACTCACCACAGGTCTCTATGGAGCTGAAAGCACTTTATGGGCCGAGTGTTTGCAGTCTGATGACATACTTCGCCGTGTTTTGTGGATTGCGGAAAACACCTTGAATCCTCATCTTATCGAAAAGGTAACTTCTGATTATATATGTGTTCGTAACTGGTGAGAATCTTATGCCTAAATGATTTCCATTTTTTGTTCCATAGAGTGTAGGGCTATTATTAGGTATCTTAGAAGGTGAATCAGAGGTTGGGAAGCTATTGATCCCTCCACTAATGACTCTAGGTTTGACGAGTCTCTTGATCAATCTTCTTTCCTTCGAAATGAGCAAGTTGGTCAAAGAAAGAATTCCAGAAAGGTATGGAATAGTAGAAACTCTATCTTTAAGGGTCATCATGTGTTAGTAAATGTTATGATGTTATGTAGTGAGTTACACTTGTGTATGATTACAGGTATTCTGTTCTTGAAATGATTCTCCGAGCTATTGAAGCCCTTTCTGCTTCAGATAGTCATTCTAAAGATATTTGCTCTAGCAAAGAACTTTTTCACTTAGTCTGTGGTCTTATGAAACTTCAGGACAAAGCCGAGGTACTTTGGTTGATATGGAGCTTTCCACTGAGTACATCTCACGTTTATAATTTCACAAACTTTGACTTCACTGTAGGTGGCAACATGTTGTGTTACTGCAGGAGTTTTAATCGCAAATATTTTGTCGGAAACATTCAGCTTCATTCCAGAAGTATCCCAAGGTTAGCTAATTACTTTTTAAGTTGTTCAACTAATGCTTCATAACTCTATCTGATTCTAAGAATCTGCACGGAGCAGATTTTTCTTTCTTGGAAGGTTTATTCAGTACTTTACCATTTGCTTCGGATGACTTAGAAGCAAGAAGAGCTCTTTGGAGTGTTGTTGCGAGGTTACTTGCCAGAGTCAATGAGTCTGAGATAGACACATTCACCTTGAAACAGTACATACTAGTTTTGCTAAGCAACTCGGATATTATAGAAGATGATCTTCTCATTATGCAACTAGAAGACTCATTCCCTTCCCATAGCTCGCGAACAATTGCTGTATCCATTCTTATATTCCTATATTTTCTGTTACTCTTTCTTGTTTTTTTTTGTGTAGATCCTTTTCTTGACCTTTAGTGATAACAGATACAAAAGATCGAGTCTATGTTGAACAATTGGAATATTCGCAAGGGGACTCTGCGGGAGGAAAACATGAATGGGGACTGCTCTGTAAACACAGCTGATGTTAAAAGGCTATATGATTGCTGTCAAAGATATATATCAAAGTAAGCTTAGTTTCTCCATCTCAAGAATTAGTCCTGTAAGACTTGTTTGCATTCAACTACTTTGTCGATCTGAAACTCAGAACAGTACTCTGCAATTGATCTTACAGTAATATAGAGTTTGATCTTGTTTCAAGTTTGTTTCATTCAACTGTCAGATTGTAGTTTGAATTGAAAATATTCAGATTGACTTGATTCATGATTCTCTTCTTTCTCAATTGTAGATCTATTGAAGGGTCTACCTTTCATGGTTAGTCTAAGGCATCATCACAGATTGACATGAAGTGGCAAGGTTTAAGAAGTCACCGACCAAGTGGGCTTTTAAACAGACATTCAGGTTAACTTGCCTGTGTTTCTCATATTACATTGTCTGATAAATGTAAACCAGAGAAGGGAGACTTAAGAAATTATCTCTAGATATAAATCTTGATTATGTCTTGAAATCCAAATGTGCAAAACAACATCACATAGTGGAAGTAACAATCTTAAACCATAGTCAAAACCAACAATCATATTGAGAAGAAAGCAGAGAGAGGTGGATCATTAGGAGATGAGAGAGATGCCAGAGACTAAAAGATTGTCTGAGAGAATCTTGTTAGCAGCTTCTGTTGGATGAAACCCGTCCCAAAACACATACTCAGTTGCATTAGTACATGTCCCTACTGATTTAGGATTACACAGTATCGATGTCTCTAGTAATCCTGTTCCACAACATGCTCTTCTTGCCTCTGCAAATCCTGAACAATTACATAAAAACACAACAAAAATGTTAAATCATGATAATAATACCACAGCATTTTAATGCTTGTAAAATTTTAAAATACCAAATTCGGATGGCCTTGTGGCGAGATCATAGAGAGGCTGATAGATATCAAAGACGACTAAGTTGAGTCCAATGAGGCTTCTCTTAAGCTCCTGCGACGTCGCATTGAGTTTGCTGTTGAATGAGACTGCGTCGTTGTTAAGACTCTCTGAGCATCCACCCTCGTGTGGACCAGCCACTGTTATGGCCGCTGGTAAACATCCCAATGGTGGAAGTGTAGTCACTCCTATCCTTCTTGCTCCTAAAGAATATAAATTCTAAAAGAACAAGAATATATTATTAACAAATTAAGTAAACTACATTAAATGTATAAATGAAAGTGATGATAGAGAGGAAGTGTATATATATATATATATATATAACCTGGATGAAGTTGGAGTAGGAGAGGATAAGGAGATCAGAGAAATCATCAGGTGACTGGACTTTGTAGAGGAGAGGGTTGATATAGTAGTTCTGTATGAAGTCACTGCTCCCTGCGCTGACGACATAAATGGCATCTGAGATTATGGAAGTGGCGTTTGCATTACTTGAAGTGGCGATTTCTTGGATTCGGCTTATGTAGTCTTTGTAATGTTCCAGCTGTTGCGGTAATGATATTGCACTCTTCATGACAAAAAGACGATCAGTTAAAAAGAAAAATAATACAGAAAATTATGGTGGAGATGGTACTAACGTAGAGCTTGGCTGTATCATCGTAATAACCAGAAGCTGCAGAGGCAAAGTTGGCTCCAATCAAAAGGTTTCTGCCTTTGGCCTTTTTGCTTAGGTAAGCTTGTGGGTATGATGTGAACCCAAGATTCTCAGCTGCATACACACACACACACTTTCAAATGTTTAATATTGTATTTAGTTTATGTGTATAGTGTACGCATGTAACAACCCATGAACATATATCGATGGAATTGCATGTAGCTCTATGTATGTTTGTACTGCATGCAAATAGAGTGTAACAATTAGTTTGCTTTTTTCACTCTTTGGTCAGCTAGTTTGTTTTTGATCTAGGTTGAAGTAATCACCTCACCAAGTGATGATGACTCTTACTTTTTTCTATGTAGCATGCATGGTGTTTTTTAGGTTCAGTATACTTCAATTTTTGTCTATATATGTTTTTCTAGTATAGATGCCTTTATAACAATTACTCTCAAAAATCAACTAAATGATTTTTCAATACATGCATGATGTATGGTGGTATATACCATATGCAGTTTAGCTCAAATTAATATTACATGTGGGATGTATGTATACATCATCATGTTGCAAGTACTTAACTATATATCTATCACTCGAATGTATGAAGAACAAGAAAAAGGTTACCAGTGAAGTCAGTAGCTAGCTTTCCATTGCAGAAGCGTCCGGTGGGTGTATGGGTAGTGAAGTCTCTTCCGTAAGGAGGAAAATTAGCTTTAACGATTGTGTAGATATGATTGTTGTTTCCCACATCAACCACTGAGTCACCAAATATGAACATTGATGGAACCAGTTGTGCCTTCACCACCACACTTACCTCAAGAACCAGTAAAGATCCAACAAGCACATAAAGATTTAACCAAACCCCTACCAATTCTTTCGAGAAACGCATCATTTTTTGCTTATAAGAATGTTATAACAAAGATGTTGATGCTTATGTGAGTAGCATGAGAGTTTGTAAGGAGCTTTGCATGCAATGGTGTTTATATACTACAAAGTACAAACACTTGGGTGATTGTATTAAATGTAACATAATTAGGTGAAGTAATGTGTCTTGTATATATACACACAACGCATTGGTGATATGTCACTATTGGCCTGAAAAATGTGAAGACACTTAGCAGAGAGACTCATTGATCAAGAAAGTAGTTGCGAGGGTCGGGTGCATTGAATTGGACCTTCACATTTATACTAGCTCAGTTACGTTATGCGTGCCATTTATTTGATTCCAAAACTTGTCTTCCGCATTCTCATAGTTAGTCATAGGTCTCTCTATATACTACTACTCATGCACACAACACACGTATAGATACAGTTCAATGCCAATATGTGTTCCATTTATTTATCTTCGAATATGTACTCCTCTTCCGGAAACACAACAGAGGCTCCCTGTTCTTTTGGTTGTAGTCCTCAATTCAACTTAGCAAATTAGAACCATACATAGAAGTGAGGACTATCTTCCCGTCTAGTTGAACAAACATCGAACTATAAATACTTGTCCATCCTTATTAAAGCATTTCCGATGTGTTAATTTCTTTATTTTCAACTCTGTAGTGAAGTTAAATTTTCTTCTAATTTTATTTAATTGTATTTTACAAATATTTCGTCCGCACATGCTGAACTAAACATTTTATAATTATTTATTAATAAATTTATTATTGTTTAAAAACTATAATAATAAATTATTAATTTTGTTTTCATTTGAAAGTTCTTACCTGAGATATTTAAAAAATAATAATTGTAGATTGCATTCATTATTAATAAATAAATATTTTAAAATCACTTAATATTTTTTTTTTAATTCTACATTATAAGAATTTTACTTGATTAATATTTAGTTACTTGACTATGTTTTCAGATAATGACAGAATATATACAAAAATATTTTTTTAATTTTAAAATATATTTTAAGATTTTGGATAATTTTTATTATTATTAATTTTAATCACTTATCTAATCAAATAAAATTAAAATATGTTCCTATCTTTTGGTAATTTATATTTTTTATTCATTCAGAGTATAAACGATATTAACAGTTATAACTTTCAACGTGAGAGTAGAGATACAAAAAATCACTTTAAACATAGAATGTAAAATTACTTTACAAATTAAACATAGAATAAAATATTATATTATATTTGAATAGTTTCATTTTATTTTATTATAGTGTAAAAATCGAGTAGAATCGGAAAATATTTAATTCCAAATTTTTTTTTGAAGTAAAAAATGAAATTGGGTCTCATGATCATTATTCTTTTGCATTAAAATAAAGCTGTATAATCTTTTGGTGTCTCATGAAATAAACCGGATTTAGCTAACACAATTTTGGAATGAACTTGGTTAAACTGCTAACCGATTGGAAAAAAGGAAACTAAACCGAAAGCAAATTAACAAAATTGTAAATATTGATGGATATAAGACCATCTCCAATGGGGGTTCTATCCCATTGGAGTTCTAAAACCATATATGTGTGTATGTATATATTATATATATGTATGTAATTGTAGGGTCCATTAAATAGTGTAGAACCTTATTCAAAAGTTCTAAAAAGTTCTATATTTAGAACTTTTGGATAGGGTTCTACACTATTTAATGGACCCTACAATTATATATATATATAATACATACATACACACATATTTGATTTTAGAACTCCAATGGGATAGAACCCCCATTGGAGATGGTCTAACAAAAAACATCTGCACCTCAGCTCTCTCCCACGGCTATCAGTAGCTACAATGAAAGAAACGTTCTTCTACTATGGATGAAGGTATTCTCAAAATTCACCATCTTCCTTCTTGTTAAAACTCTCAAAGTAAAAAATAAACGAAAATTATTTTATTATTATATAAAAAATAGACAGTGGATAAAACTGAGACTCCCTCTCAAACAGGCAATCCCAGTTTGTGTCTGTGTGTCTGAAATTCCCTCTCTAATCTTCACTTCATATCCTCTGATGAGTTTCTCGAGAGCAACCCTCTTCGATTCCCCTCTTCTTAAACCTCTCGTTGTCCTTTCTCACCCCTCCTCTGTTTTCCCTTGTAAACGTAAGTCTCCATGGAAACTGAGAGATGCTCTGTTTTAATGTGGATTCTTCTCTAAAGTTTTTAACTTTATGAGACGGGTCTTGTTTCTTGATCTTATTAGAATCTAATTTGATTCCCAAAGGCTTGTTCTTTAGTCTAGTTTTTGTGATGGGTTTCTCTATGATACATAGCTTTTGGCAGTAAAGTCTCTGTTAGTGTCTGATTTGGTTGATTGATAGCAATAAAGTTGTCAGCTTTGGTCTTCTTGATATGCATCTCATGTCTCCTCCTCTTTGTGCAGGTTTTGTTATCAGACCCATTCCTAGTCTTTCTCCCGTTGTCTTATTACCGACAAGACCAACTCAGATTGTTGCTAAGAGCTCATCAGGTTCCAACACTTACTGTTTTTTATGAGTCATTGCTTCTTAGAATGTCAGCATATTGAAATATCTTTGCTTTTGTGAGTTTTCAGTAACAGTACAGCCTGTGTCTGAGGACGCTAGTGAAGATCATCATCAGTCCAAAGATGTTAGTGGAGATTCAATACGGAGACGTTTTCTTGAATTCTATGCCTCTCGTGGCCATAAGGTGCTTCCAAGTGCCTCTCTTGTACCAGAAGATCCCACCGTCTTGCTAACTATTGCAGGAATGCTTCAGTTTAAGCCTGTTTTCCTTGGAAAGGTTTTGAACATTACTACTCTCTCCGTTTCACTTTAAATGATGTTTTAGGATTTTTGTTTTGTTTCAATTAATTGATGTTTTCGAGTTTCTATGACAGTAATTTGAAGTTTAAAACCATTTGTATTCTGTAATATGCTTTTTCATTGGTTGAATTTAGCTGTAGTTATTGTTGTATTTTATGCAAACGAGATTAGACCGAATCAAAGTTAGTAATTCCTAAATCAATATAGAGACTGTTTCTTACGATATTGTTTAAATAATGCTGCAGGTACCAAGACAGGTTCCTTGTGCAACAACTTCACAAAGGTGCATACGCACAAATGATTTGGAGAACGTTGGAAGAACAGCTAGGCACCATACTTTCTTCGAGATGCTTGGGAACTTCAGCTTTGGTGATTACTTCAAGAAAGAAGCCATCAGATGGGCATGGGAGCTATCAACTGTAGAGTTTGGCCTACCTGCTAACAGAGTTTGGGTCAGCATCTATGAAGACGACGACGAGGCTTTCGAAATCTGGAAGAATGAAGTCGGTGTGCCTGTTGATAGGATCAAGAGAATGGGTGAAGCTGACAACTTCTGGACCAGTGGACCGACTGGCCCTTGTGGTCCTTGCTCAGAGCTCTACTATGACTTTTATCCTGAGAGAGGGTGTGGAGATGAAGTCGATCTTGGGGATGATTCAAGGTTCATTGAATTTTATAACTTGGTTTTCATGCAGTACAACAAGACGGATGATGGTTTGCTTGAGCCATTGAAGCAGAAGAACATAGACACTGGTCTTGGTTTGGAACGTATTGCTCAGATTCTTCAGAAGGTTCCAAACAACTACGAGACGGATTTGATCTATCCAATCATTGCAAAGGTTTTGGAATTGGCAAATCTCTCATATGACTCTGCAGATGACAAGGCAAAGACAAGTTTAAAAGTGATTGCAGATCACATGAGAGCAGTTGTTTATCTGATATCAGATGGTGTTTTGCCTTCAAATATTGGCAGAGGTTATGTGGTGAGGAGGTTAATAAGAAGAGCTGTTCGTAAAGGGAAGTCTCTTGGGATACATGGAGATGGTAAAGGAGCGTTTTTACCTATAGTTGCTGAGAAAGTGATAGAGATGAGCACTTACATTGATTCAGATGTTAAAACAAAGGCTCCTCGCATCCTTGAGGAGATTAGACAAGAGGAGCTTCACTTCAAGAAAACTCTAGAGAGAGGAGAGAAGTTACTTGAGCAAAAGCTTCAGGAGGCTCTCTCGGCTGATAAGCCTTGTCTGTCTGGAAAAGACGCGTTTATTCTGTCTGACACATACGGTTTTCCTGTGGAGATAACAGCAGAAGTTGCTGAAGAGCGTGGAGTGAGTATAGATATGGATGGTTTCGATGCGGAGATGGAGAATCAGAGACGTCAGTCACAAGCTGCTCACAATGTTGTGAAACTGAGTGTTGAAGATGGAGATGACATCACTAAAGACATTGCAGACACTGAGTTTCTTGGGTATGACAGTCTCTCTGCTCGTGCCGTTGTGAAGAGTCTTTTGGTGGGTGGGAAGCCTGTGGTAAGGGTTTCTGAAGGCAGTGAGGTGGAGATTCTGCTCGATAGAACTCCGTTTTATGCTGAATCAGGAGGGCAGATTGCAGATCATGGGTTTATGTATGTTAATGGGAGCCAAGAAGATGATGCTGTTGTTGAAGTGAGTGATGTGCAGAAGTCTCTTAAGATTTTTGTTCACAAGGGTATAGTGAAAAGTGGAGCTTTGGAAGTTGGTAAGGAGGTGGAAGCAGCTGTTGATGCAGACCTAAGACAACGAGCGAAGGTGCGTTTGAACTTCATCTTGCATCCCTACAAGTTATTGTTATTGATCTTTTGTTTTTGTGAACTTTTCAGGTTCATCATACGGCTACACATTTGCTGCAATCAGCACTTAAGAAAGTGGTGGGACAAGAAACGTCACAGGCTGGTTCATTAGTAGCTTTTGACCGTCTCCGGTTCGATTTCAATTTTAACCGGCCTCTACATGAAGGTGAGCTTGAGGAAATAGAAGGCCTGATCAATAGGTGGATTGGTGATGCTACACGTCTTGAAACAAAAGTCCTTCCTCTTGCTGATGCAAAACAAGCTGGAGCCATTGCAATGTTTGGTGAAAAATATGATGACGAGGTAACTCAAGACACTAGTCAAATTGTGAGAACTACAGTAGTATGAAGTGTTTCATTTTTTTTATAAGTTGATTTGTCTTTAAAATCTCAGGTTCGTGTAGTAGAAGTTCCTGGTGTCTCCATGGAACTGTGTGGTGGCACTCATGTTGGAAACACTGCAGAGATACGAGCCTTCAAGATTATCTCAGAACAGGGCATTGCATCTGGAATCAGACGTATAGAAGCAGTTGCAGGTGAAGCATGCATTCAATACATAAACTCACGAGACTCTCAAATGAAACGTCTCTGCTCCACTCTCAAGGTATTCTTCTTCTAGACAGTTTTCCTTTTCATCATGTTTGAAGATATAACAAACAAGTTAGTAGTTTACATGTGGACTTTAACTAGTTGTTTGTTTGGTTTAATCTTGAAGGTGAAAGCAGAGGATGTTACAAACAGAGTTGAGAATCTGTTGGAGGAGCTACGTACTGCTAGAAAAGAAGCATCAGACTTGCGCTCAAAAGCAGCGGTTTATAGAGCATCTGTCATATCAAACAAAGCATTTACTATAGGAACTTCACAGACAATAAGGTAATGAAATATATTGTTGCTTACTAAAATTGTTTATAGATTCAACTAATTATATATTCCTGTGAATGTTTAATTTTTTGTAGAGTGCTGGTTGAGTCAATGGAAGACACAGATTCTGACTCATTAAAGAGTGCAGCTGAGTATTTGGTAAGCACACTTGAAGAACCAGTGGCTGTGGTACTAGGATCATGTCCAGACCAAGACAAGGTTAGTTTAGTGGCTGCATTCAGTCCTGGAGTAGTGTCTCTAGGAGTTCAGGCAGGGAAGTTCATTGGCTCCATAGCTAAGTTGTGTGGAGGAGGAGGTGGTGGAAAGCCTAGTTTTGCTCAAGCAGGTGGCAGAAAGCCTGAAAATCTCTCGAGTGCATTGGAGAAAGCTCAAGAAGAACTTGTGGCAACTCTATCTGAAAAGCTTGGTTGAAAGATTGATGATGAAGTCATTAAAAAAGATTGATGATGAAGTCATTAATTGTTTCTGAACCTCTTCGTACAGTATATATTGATATTTTATCAATGTTTAAAAAAATCTTAAAACCAAAAAAAAAAAAAATCAGATGAAAGTTTTGGGTGTAGTTTCGTAGTTTTTTTTTTCAGGTATCTTATAATAAAATGTTAATATTTGACCCAAAAAAAAATGTTAATATAGTTTTGTGTTTATATAACTATATAAAATAATAATATAATTTTAATTAAAAACAAAAAAAACTGTTATATGTGCCATAAATTGCTTGAATTTGTTTGTATAATTTTCACCAAGATTGCTTTTTACTTCAGAGTGTGACGAGTGTGTCATATCAAAGGGCAGAAGTTATTGCGTATGCACAAAGTTAATATCTACAAAATTTACTATTTTATTTTATTTTTGCTAATTATAACATTTGTATCAATTTTTTTTCTTAATTATATACAAATTGATTTAACATATTTTAACTAAATGAAATAGATAAAATCTTTTTAATACTATAATTTTAAATATATACATATTTATCTTAAATAAAAATGTTTATTTTATCTCAATGTTATGTTTAATTAATCAAAATTTATATTAAAATATTGATAAAAAGTAATAAAATCTAAAATATCAGTAAAATTTTATTTTTAAATATAATTAAAATTTAAAGTTTATATAGTTCCACTTGGTGTATGAAAACACCTAATTTTCTTATATAATTTTAGAATGATGTAATTGTTGTGTAGCTGAACCCATTTCTGGATTTTCGTAAATCTTGGTTTCATCATCGGGACTACAAATTATGTGGCTGAACCTATTTCTAGATTTGTTCTTAGATCCGAGAAGATGATTTTTATTCAAGCACCCGAAGATATATGAGAGAGTGAAATTAGTAAACCTGTGGCAAAGAAATTTATACAAGCAATAAATCTTAAATAAACGATTAAATCACAAAAAAAAAAGATTTTTTTTTTCTATTTATAAATTTATAAATTTTATTAATCAAATATCATGTTTACTTTTTATTATCCTTAATTGTGTGCAATTTTCCTGTTTTTATAACTTGTGTTAAATGTTAGATGAATTTATTTATTTTCTTGTTTTTCATATGTAACATATTTATTCCTTAAGCATAGCTAGCATATATCTTTGTATTTAGGGTTTGAGGATTTCACATCTAGCCGCCATGGAAGATTCACAAGTGTCTCTCTCACGACGACGTGACCATGATCATGCTTTTAACTCCACAACAAACATTCCTTATGATCTCATCGTTGAGATACTCTCTCGGCTACCAGCAAAACCACTCATACGATTCCAATCCGTGTCGAAGCTGTGGTTCTCAACCATCCGCAGCAAAAACTTCGTTGACACGTTTGTGACTAGGTCAAAGACTAGGCCTCGTCTCCTTTTACCTTTCATACAATCTGATCCGGAAAACGTTTCATCTTATCGGCTAATGAATACAACAACAAGGAGGATGACCAATCATCATCCACAGTCACCCTCAGACACGACATGACGATCTCGGACATTCTCTACCACCACATATATCCGCCCGTAAACGGTCTGATTTGTTGCATACGTGATTCATCGATCACCGTTTGTAATCCGGCCACTAGACAAATTGTGAAACTGCCAGATCTTACATGCAATGGAAGATACATACATGCACGTCTTGGCTATGATCCGGTCGAAGATCAATACAAAGTATTGTGTCTGTTGACGACGACCAATTTATTCCGCCCTAACCAAAACAACATCCAAGAAGAGTATTTAGTTTGCACAGTGACATCATCTAAGAAACAAGAGTGGAGAAAGATTGAGAACACCGTTGGTCTTTGTCTCGGAATCAGCAGAGGGATATGCATCGATGGTGCTATATACTACGAAACTGGTAAGTTAATGATAGTTAGATTTGATGTTAGAACTGAGAATATCAAGTTAATTAGAGCATCTGAAGAGTCAGACTTCTTGAGAAAATTCCCTTCCACTCTTTTAAATTACAATGGAAAATTAGGAATTGTAGATTATCCTTATAAAAGCGTTAAGAGATTGTGGATTCTAGAGGATGCTGAGAAGCAACAATGGTCGAGCATGACGTGTGTCTTACCTTTGGAACTGGAATGTCTACTTGGGAGTTACGTAGTGTCTAAAAGAGATGTTCATAACGGCGAGATTATGGTGTTTCATCCATGGTCATGGTCACTTGAGAAATTTTGTCGTGTTTACTATTATGATTTTAAGAAAGAGAGCATAATAAGAAAAGTCGAGGTAGTGGTGGATGGTGAGTTCAGACGTATCCTTGGGATTGGTGAGCAAAAATGTCTGATTTTATGTTATCCAGGTTACTTTGAGAATATTAGGTTCTTGTGATCCTTATCATTAGCTTCTTTCACTCAGTTTCAACGTGACTTAATTGGTTTGCTGGAACGATTAATTCCTAAAAATGTTTTATGTTATTTTGTTTGAAGATTTTGGCTTGGTTCTTGTCAAGTTTGCTAGTTAGGTATCGAGTGTGAATAAAACGATAAACCTACGAATAAGAGAAAATTTCGTTGATTTTTAAGAGAATAAATCATATATCTTTACCAAAAATTTTTTATTTCAGTTCACAACATATATGTGAGCACACTTCTTCAAGTAATTTAAATTTTCCAGTGACTCCACCTCATAATATCAACACAAACTTTTTCACCTATTAGCTCCATTATTATTTTCAGTCAAATGCGTTTCCATTCTTTTTTTTATAAAAAAAAAATGCGTTTCCATTCTTTTCAGACATATTGTGCAACTTTACAAAAATCTCAATATTGTAAATTTAGATGATTGAATAGTTCCTTAGCAGAAAAGAATGTTTGAAGAGTTAACGCAAGGTCAGCATTTTCTGTAGCTTAGTTTAAATGGACGTATAAAGTAGAAACATAATGTCATTTTTCAGTCGGATAAAAATGGAGTTGTACATATCGTTATGGCTAATACACATGACATCACTAGTACAGACTTTCGTATTGTATAGTATTACTTACACCTGTAACATAATCAATATGACTTACCAATACTGTTACCGAAATTACAACTGACCATTCGTAAAATCTACATCATCTACTACAGACTTTCGTATTGTATAGTATTACACCCTTACATCATGTCCCAACTTCATAATATGTCTGGAAGTATTATGAAGTGTAAAACATCGTTTCAGCCCCATGCAAAAACAAAAGAAGATGTTCAGACACTCCTTTGCAGCACAAGAGGCAGGGACAACCAACAACAACATCAAAAAATATGAACTTATTTTTTATACCATTGCAAACGAGAACTTCTACTTACTTCCATGTGAATTTAATCTTACTTTCGAATACATATATTCTTTGTATTCATCAGAAACCCCTAACAGGCAGCAGCAGATGTAGCCTGTAGCCAGAAAACAACAAAAAGAATTTAAGTGGTTACTTAACTTACGCAAGTTACTACATCCACTGACGGCAACGACCGCATCTCCAGCTACCGCCGGTGCAAGCAGATTCCTCCTCCCATGGAGAGCGATGGGAATGTATTGTCATATTGAACATGAAACTCTTTAAGTCTCACGAGTCCATACTCTTTCCTCCAAATCGTTACAAAGCAAACCAAATTAACGGTAACTCTTCTTGAAACGAGAACGAGCACCACTATTAGATATACCGGTTAATGTTATAGCTTTGATGATTGTGCAGAGTTTTTTAGGAACAAAAGTAATACAAATCTAGTGATGGTAAGTAAGAGTTACCCCCAGAGAGCAGCGCTTTCGAATAGGGGTGGAACACGGACGCCTTGTTCTGGTTTCTTTTTAGTACTAAAGTGTCATGTTTTGGTATTAAAGAATTATTACTAGCAACAATTTAACATGTGTAGGACATGTCCTCAACCTCAAAACACATACAACTTAAGTTTGGTTTCAAAAAGAAAAGTTTTTTTTTTCACTTACGTAGACTAAAGAAATGCTGACTAGCTTGTGTTGATGTTATGATCGTGGAGTCATTGGGAAATTCAAAGTTACTTTTAGAAGTGTGTTGCAATTTATATTTTGTGGCGAACTATTATTTTTAAACTCAACGATGCTTTCTATCTTATTAGTCTCGGTTATTTGTTTATTCACATTCGATACCTAACTCGCAAACTTGAGAAGAACTAAGCCGAAAATCTTCAAACAAAACAAAATAAAATAAACTAAAACCTATTTTCAGAAATTAATCGTAATGGAAGAAGCTAATGACATGATCACAAGAACCTAATATTCTCAAAGTAACCTGGATAACATAACATCTGCCATGTTTGCTCATCGATCCCATGGATACTTTTGAACTCACCATCCACCACTACCTCGACTTTTCTTATTATAATCTCTTTCTCAAAATCGTAATACCAAACACAAAATTGCTCAAGTGACCATGACCATGGATGAAACACCATAATAGGCTCGCCGTTATGAACATCTCCTTTAGACATTACGTAACTCCCACGTAGTCTTTCCAACTTAGAAGGTATGACGCACGTCATGCTCGACCATTCATGTTTCTCAGCATCCTCAAGAATCCATAATCTCATGGCACTTTTATAAAGATAATCTACACCTCCTAATTTTCCATTGTAATTTAAAAGAGTGGAAGGGAATATTCTCGAGAATTCTGACTCTTCAGGTGCATTAATTAGCGTAATATTCTCAGTTCTTACATCGAATCTAACTATCCTTGACTGTTCAGCTTCGTAGTATATAGCACCATCGATGCATATCCCTCTGCTGATTCCGAGACAAAGACCAACGGTGTTCTCAATCTTTCTCCACTCTTGTTTCTTAGATGATGTCACTGTGCAAACTAAATACTCTTCTTGGATGTTGTTTTGGTTAGGGCGGAATGGAATGATCGTCTTCAACACACACAACACTTTGTATTGATCTTTGACCGGATCATAGCCAAGACGTGCTTCTAGGTGTCTTCCATTGCATGTAACATCTGGCAGTTTCACAATTTGTCTAGTGGCCGGATTACAAACGGTGATCGATGAATCACGTACGTAACAAATCAGACCGTTTACGGGCGGATATATTTTGTGGTAGAGAATGTCCGAGATCGTCATGTCGTGTCTGAGGGGGACTGTGGAAGATGAAACGTTTTCCGGATTCAGATTGTATGAAAGGTAATAGGAGACGAGGCCTAGTCTTTGACCTAGTCACAAACGTGTCAACGAAGTTTTTGCTGCGGATGGTAGAGAACCACAGCTTCGATACGGATTGGAATCGCATGAGTGGTTTTGCTGGTAGCCGGGAGAGTATCTCAACGATGAGATCATAAGGAATATTTGTTGTGGAATTAACAGCATGATTTACGTCACGTCGTAGTCGTCGTAGTCGTCGTGAGAGAGACCGTTTTGAATCTTCCATGGCGGCTTGATGTGAATTCCACAAACCCTAAATATTTTTTTAATAAAATAATAGTACTATATATTAGTAGCTTTTTTGTAAACTACTATTATATATTAGTAGCTAAAGGAACAAATATACATATGCACACAAAAAAAAATAAGGATACTCCGGTCCAGATCACGAACCAATTTTTTTTCTCTAGCTTATGGTAAATAGCTTAACTAATGATACAATCGCTAAATTATATTAGCCCCCATATCTTAGATGGAAACTTATAAGGCTGGTTTTCATACCGGTTTGTAACACAACCGAGTCGGTCTGACTACTGGAAGTCAGATAATTTAGCCCAGTCCACAATCTGCATACCGTCATAGACATTATTAGCAAACCGGACACTAACCGTAAGCGCCATGGCGACCAAAGGAATGCGTTTGGCTGCTGATGAACCTTCCACACGTTCAACCCCGTAGATAATTTGGTAATGTGCGTTAGAAGATAAGCCCAGGAACACACTTGATCAAGAACACAAGACATAGAAGAAAAATATATATATAAATTGAGTAATGAACAGAAAAAAGATATATAAATTTTTAAGGAAAAATGCATCAGCTCGCAGCCTAGTTTTCTTTACATAATGGATGTACTGATAGCATCTCTAATGTGTTATACAATATATCTTTTTCAAAAAGGAATAACTTTATGATATATTTTAGTTTATTTTATTTTCAGTCGGTTTCGGATCGAGTCCTCGGATCCAAACCAATCATTTTACCCTATTGGATCTTGTTGTGGAAGACCCGTGGATCTTGGACCCAATTTGACCCGAACCTGAGACCCGATAATGTATCCAAAATATAAAAAAAAATAAAAATATATTATAACAAAATTACTTGTAATGTGATTCAAAGATTTAGTTTTTTTAATATAATATAACAAAATTACCTGTAATATAATTTCTTGTTAGTATTTATTATAACTATTTATATGCTGCTGATATTTTTTTTTAAGATAAATCAATATTTTACATAGATTATTTTAGAATATAAATTATAAAATAAAAATAGTTGATTTTACTATACACAAATTAAACTTTAGAAATCTGACTTTTGATATTGTTTTTATTATATTTAGTTTATATGAAAAAAAATTAATTAGAAATCAAACTCTCCACTTTCTCACCCATTGTCAGGCACAGATACAGAAACAAGAAAACCAATCCTCTGGTGTTTTATACTAGAGAAGTTCTTATAACTGAAATAGATCCTCAACTCCTCATAAAGACCACAAACTAATAAATGTCACTTGTGTTTTGTCAAAAAAAAAAAAAAATGTCACATGTGTTTGTTTATTTTCACATTTACTGCAGTATGTAGAAAATTCCTAAAAATCAATAAAAAAGGAAAGAAATCTATACAAAAAGAAAGAAATAAAGTGAATAAAATTTCACCATTTATATTCCTCGTTTATCCTTCTCTTTCTCTTCTGGCATAACCTCAATCTCCTCTTGCTCTATCTTCCCTAAATTGTAGAGAGAGCAAAGCCTCCACTTTTCAGTCCAAATCTCACTCTCTCCTAAACCCCATTACACAAAACAGAGCAAAAATCCCATTGTAACAATCTACACAGAGAGAGAAAACCAAAATGGACGGTGTTTCACCAAAGTTTGTGTTACCAGAAACATTCGACGGTGTGAAGATGGAGATCACAGGCCAGCTAGGCATGATATGGGAGCTTGTAAAGGCACCAGTGATTGTCCCTCTGCTTCAGCTAGCGGTTTACATATGTTTGCTAATGTCTCTCATGCTGTTATGTGAGAGGGTTTACATGGGAATAGTCATCGTCCTCGTCAAGCTCTTCTGGAAAAAACCTGACAAACGCTACAAGTTCGAGCCCATTCATGATGATGAAGAGCTTGGAAGCTCCAACTTCCCGGTGGTTCTCGTTCAAATCCCAATGTTCAATGAACGAGAGGTCTCTTTCTTCTCTCTGTTCTTTGCTCTGTTTTTTTTACTCTGTTTCTCATCAAAAGATTTTTTCTTACATTATTAACCCCAACGTTATAAGATTTAGAGAAAAATAGCCTCAGGTTTTAAGGAAATCACCATTTTTCCCACGTATGCGTCATTTTATCTTTCATGTTGTAATGATTTTGGGGGGCGATTTGTATAACCCATAGTTTATGGCTTAACTGTAGTAAATCGTTAAATTATAGGGACTAGAAAGAAAACCGAAATTCCCCGTGATTTTTGCGTTCAGGTTTACAAGCTATCAATAGGAGCGACGTCTGGACTATCGTGGCCGTCCGATCGTCTCGTGATTCAAGTGCTTGACGACTCAACAGATCCTACTGTTAAGGTATTAATATATTTACTTAGTCCATTTTCAGAAAATATAGTACTTCAATACTTAGTCCACCTTCAAAAGATTCATTTCCTAAATAAAAAGATGTATATTATGACTAATATTTTTTTTTTCTCAGTGAGTAAGAATTAAGTAATAACAAAAGATTGAAATCAGTCTGGAACATTGATAGGTTTTGTTTACTTAAAATGTGCAGCAAATGGTGGAGATGGAGTGTCAGCGATGGGCAAGTAAAGGAATCAATATAACATATCAAATCAGAGAAAATAGAGTTGGTTACAAGGCCGGTGCGTTAAAGGAAGGACTCAAACGCAGTTATGTCAAACATTGCGAGTATGTTGTCATCTTCGACGCTGATTTTCAGCCTGAACCTGATTTTCTTCGCCGTAGCATTCCATTTCTCGTCCACAATCCCAACATCGCACTCGTCCAGGCCCGATGGAGATTCGGTAATAATAAACATACATTATTACATTCTTCTCTAATATTATTTTATTTGATAATTCAACAGGTATTCATTGATGGTTTATGTCATATCCGTTGAGTATCTTACATTTACTTCATTGCACATCAAGGCTGGTAGGTACTTATAATATAGAAATGATCAAACTGACATTTGATAATGTTGTCAAGTGTCAGGGAGGTTCAAAAGAGTAGTGAACCGCTGTCTTTGTTTATGTTTTATGAAAGATTTAATGTTTGTTTCGATCATTAAATGAAAGCTCATGGTTTTGGTTTTTATAGCTAAATTAGTGGTGTCGGTGGTATGTGTACTTCACATAACTCTAACCTTGTTGATTAAGTCGGATTAGTTGCATAGTGCTTAGGTATGAGTTATGTACACCTTGTTGCTTAGTTAGGATTCATTGCGCAATACCAGGTCAATGAATATGAACATAAATGCCAAAAATAGTCTTTCTTGTTTACGTGTGCATGTCATGTGATCTTACTGCTACGAAATTCTGGATCCGTCGGTCAGTTAAATCGAATCAGTTTGGCCCGGGTTGATGAGTCGGGTCGGGTTCTAATGTCGGGTCTCTGATATCTTCCACGTGCTTTTCTTTTGCCTTTCTTTAAATGTTCAAGTGTAGGACCCATTCTTTGTCTGTAATGATAGTGTTAACATACATATTAATAATGAAAAATGCCTTGGTCTTGCCGACTTGTTAGATTATTTTACGTAATACTTTCTGACTTTATCTTTTTTCTTTTCTTGAAGCATGAGTCCAACCTAGTGATTAATAATGAAAAAAACTAGATGGTGAATATTTTGATTATTATAGCTTAATACATGGGGATATTTTGTAATGTTTAACCATGGGATATTAAGATTAATGAAAATTGATCTTATTATGTACTTTTGCAGTAAATTCTGACGAATGCTTATTGACGAGGATGCAAGAAATGTCGTTAGACTACCATTTCACTGTTGAGCAAGAAGTTGGTTCATCAACACATGCTTTCTTCGGCTTTAACGGTAAAAAAACAGTAATTATAGTTTTTATATTGATTACTAAAAATCATTAGTTAATTTTATAAAAGGGAAATCTGCACAGTACATACTACAGCTAAATATTATTGACAGTTGGTATACTTGAGGTTAATTTTGAATTTTTGATAGAGTAAACTGTATGTGGACCCAAACCTCCTTTTGTAAGGTTATGATAGTGTAAACTGTTACTGTAAAACTGACGCAAAATATATTACAAGGAATCAAACTTGTCAGTCAATAATCAAATAATAGATTCTGAAGCCTTACAGGGGTGGGACTCTGACACGTGAAGCAAATAGGTGTACTTATAGATGATAGTTATTGTCATCCCTTCTATAATAAGTACGATTTGCAAGCTTTTGGAATTAGATTTCATGTGTTCAATTAATTACAAGTTGTGTAAAGGGACATTACATTAAGACGGATCTTAAATTCTCTGGACACTTATAGATACGTGTCTTTTTTGTTTGTCTAAAATGTTTTTCTTTCATAAATACTGTAGTTTATAGAAACTATAGTTAATAAAAAAAGGTTTTATAGGAACCGCCGGAATATGGAGAATAGCTGCGATAAATGAAGCCGGAGGGTGGAAAGATAGGACCACCGTGGAAGATATGGACCTCGCCGTCCGAGCAAGTCTCCGTGGCTGGAAATTCCTTTATCTCGGCGATCTACAGGTTTCAAATTTACTTTGTTTCTGAATTTTTTCATAAACTAAAACAAATAGTTAGAATAATTTTAAAACAGTACAAAATGTAGTTGGTGCACATTGCACAAGATACTTATCTTATTTATGTTATGGTCACTATCCCTTTTTGAACTAAAGATGTTTTGTTAATATTGTGAAAACATTGTTATATG